CTACAGTGATGTGTGCAATTCAGAAACACTGATCCCCAATCCCGAATGCAGAACGTGGACAGAGGAGCGAGGTTTGAACCTTCTGCTGCCCACAAGTCCAGCAGAGAAGCTATACCCTGGCAGTGAGAGTGGGCCGAGGGAGGCTTTTCTTTATTCTTTTTCGTTTTTATGCATATGTTTACAATATAAATACTAGTTTGTTTCAAAGCACATAATAACTTGAGCGAGTCACCTAGCGTGGGAAAGCAGTTTACAGCAGTGATGAAGGGGTGAGAGCTGCTTAGGGGATGTGGGGTCGCAGCAGGACCATGAATGGGTGTGAGGACCTGAACTTGCAGGACATGGGAAACACCTATTGGCACTATATGTGTCTGGAGGGCACACGGACTCAGTGGGGTCTCCAATCTCGCCACCTCCAGGTCTGTGGGTCCCTTCCATTTGATGCCTTGTGGTAGTCTGATTTTACCTGGCTCCTCCGCCAAGTCCAGCCTCCAGGACCCTCCCACCTGCCATCTGGCCATCCCCCCCAAAGCCCTGCCCCCCATGTCCTCCTTTCTGCTTCTTACAAGGCTGCTCCAGTTCTCCAGCTCCAAGAAACACATCCACACTGCAAGGCAGGAACTGGGGACCCAGCCACACCTCCAGTCTCAACACTCCAACTTCCCTGGTAGACAGACACCCCTCCCTTCCTCCAGGGGGCACCATGGATGACAGTGAAAGACTCAAGTGTTCCCCAGAACACGGGAGGTACAAATGCATTCAAGGCACCAGAAGCAAACAGTTCTAGGGGACAAGCCCTGGGGCCTCTCAACTTACTCAGGATACTGAGCCTCAGTCCTTGGCTCACTCACTCATTTCAATATTATTGAGCATATACACACCAGCGGCCACTGTGTAGGTATAAACGCAAACATCACATAGTTATTCAGACCAACACAGGCTGCAGCCACAGGACCTATTCAGGGGGCTTCACCTAGTTCCTGCCTGGGAAGCCCTTTGCCCCAGGCTACAACTTAAATGCTACTGGCCAGGTTCCAATCCTAGCTCTGCCACTTTCTAGCCAGGTGACTGCCAGCTAGCTGGTCTAACATTCCGTCAGTTGGTCTCTTTCTCTGTAAATGGGGTGATGGGAGCAACTCCTCAAGAGTGTCAGTGGGGGAGAAGGGCCCCGGAAGGGCATGAGAATTAACCATCAAGATGCTCCAAGATGGGGCAGGCACCTAAAGACCTGGTGGTGTAAGTGTGGAGCGAGGAAACAAACCACCGGAGGGACAGGAGGGTCTGGAGGGCAAGAAGTAAGTGTCCTACACCCTGAAGGCACCCATGGGATGGTCTGGAGGATGACCCAAGTTCCAAAGTCCCCTGTTCCGGGGGTGTGCCCAGCTAGGGGAGGGTCTCAGGATTGTGCCAATGAGTCTACCCAATGGCCTCAGTCCTGGTCCAAGAGCCAAAGGTCGGCGGTTGCTCTGAAAGGACTGCGTCGGGTCCCTGATGCGGGTTCCCCCACCGCGGGCTTCGCGGCCATTGCTGGGCCGCCCTGTGACAGGTAGGGATTGAGGTGCCGGCTTCGTTTTCGCTTCACCCCAAATCTCAGGAAGGTCCTCTAGGACTGCGAAGGGATGCTTCCCCTTTGCCTCCTTGCCAAGCGGTTCCAGGTCCCCAGCCCCGCGGCCGCCCCCTCCTCCGCCGGCATAACGGGAATCGCCGGCTCAAGGGCGGCGCCTCGGGGTCAGGTTCCCCGTTCCCTCGTAAGGTTGGGGACTATCCCAGCCGACTGTGACTCCGGAGGGCCAAGTCCCCCAGCGGCCCCCAACTAGCACGCCGGACTACGAGCTCCTACATGCCCCGCGCCGGCCTGCGCAGCGCCTGCTGGGAGCTGTGGTCCAGCAGTCGCTACGAGCCTAGGCGCTGGCGTCCTGCGGACTACAACTCCCGTCGGGCCGCGCGGGTCGCGGCCCGCGCCCCGCCCTTCGTCCTTCCCGCGGCCCCCGGCTCGCTGGTACCCTAAACAGTCGCCCTCCTGCCTCTGACCGCCCTGCTCCCGACGCCCCGGCCCGCGGATACCTATGTCAATGGCGAAACGCTTGGCGTTCTCCAGATTACGGAAGATCTCGTCCGGAGGGAGCGTGATGCTCTTGTCCAGGCTATCCCCGCTGCTACCGCTGCCGCTTGCCCCACACTCCGCCATTTTGAATGTGCCCGGCCAGCCTCATCAGCCATGGAGATATATGCGCATATATTTGACTGCTAAACGCCTTTCGTGCATATATTATGTTAATTATGCCCCGCCCCTCTCGGCTATTGGAGCCGGGTAGAGTTGGTTTGGGCAGGGGTTGGAGGAGGCCGGGCTTCAGGAAATCCTGCAACTATTCTCCAGAGATCGTACAGCTATTCTCCAGAGATTAAGCCTCAATACTAAACATCTGAGTTGTGTTGTCGTCATTTATTTACTGTTTATTTTTGCTACTGAACTGGTCAGATGCTTAACTCAAATCCTCTGAGCTAGTGCTAAAAAAGGCAGCACGTGCTGCTTCCAGAGGACTTGCAGACCCTAACACCTGACTCTTGGCCTCACTTGTTGGCGCTGCAAGCTGACTCTTGCATGCTAGGGTGCAGGTGATGTGCTCTCAGCTACTATTACCCAGGTTCGGTTGGGTGCTAAAAGTCCCATGCAAGCAGGCAAGAGGAGGGGACCCTGCCCTCAAAGATCCGCAGCCTGGGCAGAGATAGGTCTGAGACACAGATCCACAGCCAGGGAAGACAACGGTCTGCTGGTGGGCTTCTAGAGTGCAGGGGAAGTAGAACCCCAATCCCAGCATAAGCTGCCTGGAGAAGGTTTGTTTCAGCAAGTGGGGATATGTGAGGGTGCCAAAGTTTGCGGGGAACACACTGAGACTTGAAACCACCTTGGAGCAGGGATGGCAGAGTCCCAGGGGAAGTCCATCAGAGGCACTAGCACTTTGGGAATGAGCCCTGCACAGAGGCAGACAGATCTGGCCCCTGTGGTGGGCTTCCTGTCTCCCATGTGACTCCGACCATTGCTGCCTGCCTTTGGACCTCAACCTCTCAGTCTGTAACCTGGGAGTACACCAGCTGCCTGACAAGTTCCTGGGAGCCTGCAGTACTGCAAGGGGCCTTCCAGAGGATGGAAACCTGCCTGGGGAGACAACCCCCCCCCATGGAGGAAGGTCAAGTGTTTGTTCTGTAGAGGGCACAGCATGGGGACCCAGAATAGAGACTGAGGCCATGAGTCAGCAGGCAAGTTTTGATCCAGAAGGGCAATGGTGCTCCTCCCAGCCACGATGGACCAACACCCATACAGTAAGCCTACCCTGTCTCCTGCCACTATGCCCAGGGCCCAGCAGCCATCACAGAGGGCCAGGTGCAGGCAACAGACTGGTCCAGAGGAAGCACATTGTGGAATGAGGCAGAAGGCTTAGGGGAGAGAGGGTTGGAACCTGCACCACCCAACTCATCATGACAAAGTGTCTGAGAGTCTGTGCCAGGCTCCCCTGCCTGCTCCTTGCCACTCTGAGCTGGGTGGATTTCACCTTTGGGGAACCTGGGTGCATGAGTATTGAGGTTCTCAGTTCTTGCAGTCTCCAGTAACACCCTGTAGCCTGCCTAAAAATAGGTGTCCTTTTGGAGAAAGAGATCAGCACTGGCACTCCAAACTGCCTGTTCCAGTCTGGCAAATGACCCACAGCTAGGAGGACAGGTGCTTCCAGGAGATTCGGCCAGGGCTGCAGGTAGCTGCTGGCTGGAGGGAGGCAGGTAGGACTGTCAAACATTTCCTTCTGTTCAAACTTTGGCACCCAGCTAAGTCATCTTTGACTGCAGCAAGGGACCCACAGCCACAGGTCCTTAGCCAGACTACAGGAAGGGCTTGCCCATAGCTGTCCCCTCCCACCTGCTGGAAGCTAGCCTGGTCTCTCCTCCTGCCCTCGCAGAGGGAATGTAGTCTACCAGGCCCTCTCCTTCCGGTCTACCCCTCCTCTCTCATCCACTTTGCCCCTGTCCCTGCTTCTCCCCTCCTCCTTTTCCTCCAGCTTCTCCCCAGCCTCTTCTTTCTTTCATTTCCAGCTCCTCCTCTCTTTCTTCTGTCTTTCCTCCCTACCTATTCTCCCCTCTCTCCCTGAATCTTCCCTCCCTCCCTCTGCTCTTCCCAGACATTCCTCAGCATTCAAAGTGTCATTGCACACAATAATAGCCTTGCTCACTCTCACTCCCTTTCACTGGGACAAACCTGCTCTCCCACACTGTGCCTCCCCCTCCCCTCACCCTTGACCGCTTACACCCTTGTAAGGCACCAGAGGAGACAGGGCTCAATAGTCAGATTTTATTAAAAGCCTGCAGAGAGCAGTCCACGGAATAGAAGTCAAATACTGAGTACAGACGTCGCGCCCACGCGCACCCACACCAAGGAATCCTTTAAGGATTGCAGTGGGGACCCACCCGCCCCAAACAGCCCACTATGAGCCCTGATCTGACAGCTGAGCACGGGGAAAGCTCCACAGTGAGGCTCTTCCGTGCTCTCCGGCTGCTGTTACTGGTTCTCCTATGAGGATGCACACCGAGTTCGCCTTCACAAAAGGCAAGATGCGCCCACTGCACGGCCCGCCCAAGGGCGCGCCCACAGCCAAGGGCCTGAAGAAAGTCTTCTACGGCGGCTCCTGCCAGCCCCCACCGCCTACAAATATCATAGACCCCGGCATGTGGCCGGAACTTCCCAGAAGTCACTTGCTGAAATGCAAACACAGAACGACCCCTTGGGGTCAGACGCTTGCTAGCCGCAGTTCTCTCCACAGAAGATGGGCCCTGATTGTCCTAAAGTGGCAAGGGCTGGCACACACTCTCTGAGAATGACTCTCCTGCTGGCCTGCCAATAGGAGAGGAAGCCCTCCGGAGAGGGGTCCAAGTCGGACCGAAGGGAGGGGAAGGCGCTTCCCTACTTGGGAGAGGAACGACTCAGCTCGCCCTCTGGTCCTGGGTGGTCCCAGTCACCAGGGCCGCCAGAGGCCGCAGGCAGGCTGTCGTGGGGCAGAGGCCTTGGCTGAGGTGAGCGAGAGTGGGGGTCCGACGCTGGCTGCCGGGGGCTCCTTGGGCGCGGCAGGTGCGGCCGGAGGTCGCTGGAAGTGGTAGAGCAGCTTCATGTGCGTATCGCTGGCCGCGTGCAGCGTCAGGAAGCGTACGGCCTCCTGCAAGCACCACGAGTAGCCCTCGCTGTAGTCCTGGTGCAGGCTCTTGGGGCCGGCAGCGGCGGCGGCAAAGGCTGCAGGGAGGGAGGGACACGGGCGGTGAGCGGGCGGCAAGCCGGCTGGCTGGGGAGCCGGGGAGTGGGAGGACTGGCGGTTCGCTCACCTTTACTGTGCTTCAGGTAGCTGACGGCCATCTCCAGGATGTCGGCCTTCTCCAGTTTAGAGTTAGGCTGGTGCCGAGCGAACTCCTGCTCGAGCAGCAGCTTCAGCTGCTCGATGCTGCTGTTGATACGGTCGCGGCGCATCTTCTCCACCACCGGCTTGCGTAACTGCAGGAGGAGGGGGGCGTCAGAGGACGCGAACCGGCGGGCTGACGGGGCCGGCGGGGCCGCTCGGAGGAAGACCTCGAGGAGACCACGGAGCCTGCACTTACCCGGTTTTTCTCCTTGGGGCTGAGCAGCTCCACGGCCACGGTGCTGGGGGCCATGCCGGCGAGCGCGGAGAAGCGGGCGCAGACGGAGGCGGCGAGCCAGGCGCTGGCTGGACTGGACGCGAGTCGCCTGATATAGGCGCGGGCGCGGTCGGGGCCTGGGGCCAGGGCGCCGCGGCCGTTCCCACGCTCGGCGGCCAATGGCGGCGCGGGCCGCACAAAGGCGCCGGCCCATTAGCGCACGCTAAATTGCCTGTGAATTGGCGCGGGCACAATGGGCGCTCCCCGAGGAGCAGGTGGGCCGCGCGGCACAATGTCCGGGCTGTGGGAACACGCTCGCCCTCATTAGCATCCCGGGCCTGATGCTGAGACCCGCGCCTCAATATGCTGCCTTTTCCCAGGCTGCAAGGACGCCCGGGATGAGGGGGACAGGGCAGGAAGAAGCGGCCCCTCCCTTCGCCTTGCCTCTCCTCCCCCATGTCGAGGCCCCCTGCTGGCAGAGGCCACTAGGGAGGATAAGGGAAAAGCTTTAGAATTAACAAGTGGTTTCTAAACGCTTTCCAGCCTTCCCTGACAGGGACCCATGCCCAGTGGGGAAGGGACAAAGGGGCAACAGGTCTCCTGGACGGGTGCTATTACCTGAGCCATAAGTGGATGAGTGAAGGAGGGACCCTGGCTCCTAGGATCAGACCTGGTGGCTGTGTTGCAAGTTCTTTGGCTGTGCCACCTGGGTCAAGTGATTTTTCCCAAGTTTCAGTCATTCCAAGCTGAAAACCTGGCAACTTGCCTCCCTGACTCGGGTTCAGGGAGCCCGAGTGCCCCAGGTGGAGCCTAGCATTTATGCAGCTTTACAGGGCCCCTGGACCCAATCCTACTGCAGAACTCATCCCGCCCCCACCTGGCTGGGAGTCCAGCCACACCTGTAGACAGCTCCATGCACCCTTGGTCTTGACCAGTTTCTGTAGAGTTCTGGGTTATCACAGGCCATTGGATGGCCTCTCTGCTGGTGGCTCCGGCGGCGGCTTGGGCACATGCCTGATACCCAGGTGAACATTAAGGCTGGGAGATGGCTCCCAGAGCCTGGCATGACTGATGAGAGGCCCTGTCTCCCCCACCTTTCCACCCCCTTCATCCCTCTCTGCACAGTTGAGTGGGCACTCTTGGGGTTTGCTTTCTTCAGGGGTCTTGCCAAAGGGGACCCCAGGGGCAGACAGGAAGAGCTGAGCAGGACAAGCCTGGAGCTCACTTGGATGCAGTGCCACCCCAGACTGGCACACTAGGGACCCACTGGACAGTTTGACAACTCCAATACTAGACCAGTCAGCTGAGGGCTAGCTAAGGGCCAGTAGCTGCTTTAGGCCACCAGCCCCATCCCAGGCCCCTTGGGGAGCACCTGCTGGGAACCCCCTCCATTCAGCCCCTTCCCTCTGATTCCTGCAGCCTACAAACAGTGAGAGAGGAGGTGAGGCTTGGGCTGCATCCTAGCCCCCACCCCACCCCCTAGTACCCTGTGGAGAAGGGGCAGGTAGGACCCAGTAAGATCTCAGGGAAAGGCAGGCCCTGGAGCACTCTGGCCAGAGTTTAAATCCAGAGGCACAGTTCCATGAACAGAAGAAGCCTTGTCCAGGTGTGACTGGGAACTGGATGCTGCAAACAGTTATGTGTTTGACTACTAGCTAAAAGATGATGTGCTCACCTACTAGCTGAGGCCACCCAGAGGCGCCTTGGAAGACAGTCCTGACAATCAGTTCTGAAAGGCCACAGCCTTGACAAGCCTAAGGAGCATGCTTCTACTCTGTACCATGGGTACAGAATCTACTTGTTGGTAACTAACTAACATGAGTGGGAATCTACTTGTTGGCAACAAAGTAACAACAAACAAAGGCTAGTCTTGGCAGTGACCCAGAGCTATGAGTGGTCTATTAGGTGGCTGTGGCTCCAGATATCCCCAGCACAAGGAGCCTAGCAGTGTGACCATCAAGGGGAGGGGTTAGCGCTCTCTTTGGAGCCAGTGGAAGGACTGACCAACTGATCCCCCATTGCAATAGATTAGGCTGTGGGGTGGGGGCTGTGGGGTAGAATTACCAGGTAACTTTAGACGGGGGAGGGCAAGGAACCCCTACTCATCCTTCCTGCTAGCCTGCTCCCAGCAGCACCTCCCTTGAAGTGGCGCCCCAGGCTGTCTGTGAGAGAAGGGGAATTTGGGGTCTGGAGGTGGCCTCCCTGAAGCTGGGAACTCCTCTGTGAGTATACAGGACCCTCTGTGAACACCTGGCCCTGTCTGATGCAAAAGAGCAAAGGACATTCATGGTTGAGGTGAGATGCTAAGCTTGAGGGCAGTTGTGGGTTTTCATAGCACTAACAGCCCCAGGGCAGGCCACGCTGGAGAGGGCACCAGTGGCTACCCAAATGGGGCTCATGCTGGGTGGCCATCACACTTTGTGTCTGTCTCCAGTGGTTGGGAGCTTCCTGTAGGCTGGCTGGGGCTGGGGTGAGCAGGAAGACAGTCCCCAGTGTCCCCATCACAGCTGTCCTGCCAGCTCAGGGCCCAATACCAAGTAGGCACTTAAGCCAAGCAAGAGCTGCAGGGATCCCAGGAAAGTCTGAAGCCCAAGCCAACCCTGGCCACACTCTCCACCCACTGGGAATGGAGACCCAGCCCACTGTGACTACTGGGCTGCTGGCAGCAGAGCCCCAGAGCTGGGCCCAGATGTGGGGGGCGGCACCCAGGAAAAGGTCCCCCCCTCAGGCATCTGAAGGGACAGTTGGCTAAGGCTGGTGTCTTACACCCCCTGCCAAGTCCACAGCCAAATGAGACACACGTGCCTGGAGCTGGGTCCAGCCCCCCTCACCCCACTGCCCGCCCACCCGCAGTGGCCAGGGTGAGGGTGGCGGGTGGGCCAAGAGGGCTGCTGCCTCCCACCTTTTCCTCCCTTCTCTAGCCTGAGCAGCTTTGATCTAATTTTTGATTGTGGGAAATATGAAATGAATGGTGTTAAATCCTGTCCCAGCCGT